GTACATATATAATATATATTAGTAATTCAAGATTGAATTATTTAAAAGCAACGAAGATCCAGCTTCGACCGTAATAGGCATTTTAAATTTCTAGTATTGATTGTGTTTCTTACATATACGGTCTAAAATAAAGACAAAAAAATATAGTCCACGAGAGAGTTTTCGCTATGGCGGAACAGGTTAATGCATTACGTAGACGCCGCGGTGTCTCGAAGTTCAAGCTGATGAAGTTGACAACGACAATTGAGAGCATGTGACAAGCGGAAGATGTGAGTAGAGAGCAAATTGAAGAATGTATCGCAACGTTAGATCGAATACGTGTAGAATTCGAGAAGCTGCACGAGGAAATCATCGACGCAATGGATGAAGAAGTGCTGGTCACAGACTCTACGGAAGAGGCATACTTCGTGGAACGATACTTCGAATTAAAGGTGAGTCTGAATAAAATGTTGCGGGACGTCACAATGGGACAGGAGACACATTCTTCGACGAGTAACGAAATGATCTCGTAGGTATTGCAACAGCAGTTCAATTTAATTCGTCAAATCAGCCAACAATCGAATATGTCGCCAACACCGAGCAACGACGCCATTACAAGGTTGATAGAAACACAGACAGAGCTACTGTCACAACTCACGGCCACCGAGGCCGCAGCAAGTCGCTTCGGGTGTCTAATTGCCAGTTCTAAAGCTGCCATTTTTCGACGGGCGCATAGAGGATTGGAAACGATTCGCGGACACATTCCGGTCGCTCATACACAATAATGGCGAATTGAAGCCCGTGCAGAAGTTCCAATATTTCGTCATATCACTCACGGACAACGCAGCAAAGATCATCGAATCCATCGAGTTAACGGAGGACAATTATCTAATAGCTTGGGACTTATTGCAAAGACAATACGACGATTCACGAGCAATAAAGAAAAGGCACATTGAGTGTCTCTTTTCAATGCCGTCAATCAAGAAGGAGTCCGCCATCGCCATTCGAGGATTATACAAAGAAGCACTTACGAGTTTCGAGGGCATTGGACTATGCCTACAGATGCATGGGATGAACTCATCATCCACATGATGGAAATGAAGTTGGACGCCGTGACATTGCGCGCCTGGAAACAAGAAGGTAATGTAGAATCGCGAACGTTGAGTAATTTTGTTGATTATTTGCAGAAACGTTGCTTAATGCTAGAGCGCCTAGAAGCGAGAACGAAGGAAGGGACCGGTCACGTTAACGATGGGTCTGACAAGCAGCGATCAAAAAATCGAAGCCAAAAACATGCCAAAGCGACAAACCCACGTCATTGGCAGCATCAACCGCTAATGGAAAATGCTTCTTATGCAGTGGAGAACATTTCGTGTACTGTAAAAAATTCATGCCATGCCAGTCGATGAGCGCATCAAGAAAGTTCGTCGACTGAGACTTTGTCTCAATTGTTTACGCTCTAACCACTATGTTAAGTCATGCAAAATGGGATCTTGTCGTGAGTGCTCATGCAAACACAACATGCTGTGCTACCTATCAACCGATTTGAAGGAGGACAGCAAGGAAGCTGAACCAGCCTCCAATACTCATAACCAGAGTGCCTGCCAGGCAGCACTGAGCGTCAGTGCATTTGTCGGCGAGCGCGTCTGTGAAACGTCGCGTGATAATGGCAATAGCTAGGATGCATGCGCTTCATCCCAATGGTTCTAGCGTTTCGTATACTATTAGATAGCTCGAGCGAGGCGCACCTGATTACACGCGCGGCGTGCAATAGAATCGGCATCAAACGAAATCATGCGACAGAAATTGTTACCGGGATAAATGAAAGCGAGACGCAGATCCAACAAGTATGCGATGTTGTTTTACAGTCGAGTTATTCGAATTTCCGTATCAATATACATTGTCTTATTGTTCCAAAGATAACCGAGGATTTGCCACCGATTAAAATGTCTCGCGAAACATTGCAAGTTCCGTCGAATTTAAAATTAGCAGATCGCGAGTTTGATAAACCCGATACCATCGACATATTACGAGGAGCAGAATATTTCTACGAATTGTTAGAAACGGGAAAAATAGAGCTAGGTGTAGATCGCCCGGTTGTATAAAACACGAAGCTTGGGTGGATCATTGCTGGGCCGCTTGCAGTATCATCAAAGCCGAGTGTCACAGGCACTGATAAGATCGCGTCACTCTGCTGTTCCGTACAGCAGTGCGAATATATTAATAAGTCTCTCGAACGATTCTGGATGGTTGAGCAGGGCAGTCTAGAGACGATCACGATTCGGTCCGAAGCTGAGCGATGATGCGAGGAATTGTTCGATAGAACTACTAAACGCGATGATAGCGGTAGAAAAATAGTTCGTCTGCCAATCATCGATGGCGCGGAACCATTAGGCGAGTCGCGGGATATCGCCGAGAAACGATTAAGACAACTGGAGCGTAAATTCAAGGGCAATGTTTCATTACATGAGCAGTATGCGACCTTCATACGCGAATACGAAGAGCTAGATCACATGTCGCGAGTCGTCGATGGGGAGCACGAAACTGATTCGTCGATAGTATATTTGCCTCATCACGGCATCGTGAAGGAAGACAGTACAATAACTAAGTTGCGCGTAGTTTTCGATGCGTCGATCAAAACAATCTCCGGTAAATCACTCAACGACATATTGATGGTCGGCCCAACCATTCAAAAGAGTCTGCTCGAAATAATGATTCGATTCCGCATACGATTGCACTGACCGGAGATATTAGGCAATTGTATCGTCAGATAGTCGTCGATCCGCAAGACTGCAATTATCAGAGAATTTTATTGAGATTCTTTCCAGATGAACTGATCAAACACCGTCTAGATTAAACACCGTCACGTACGGAGAATCGAGCTCATCTTACTTAGCTACTAAGTGTATAAACTCGAGGAGTTAAGGAAACGCGAGTACCCGGACGCTTCTAGAGTTTTGCGTGAGGAAATCTATGTGGACATCATGACCGGCGCCCAAGATGTTGCGAGAGCAAGTGTACTACAAGGCCAAATCGTGGAGTTGCTAAAATCCGGAGGCTTTCAAACGCACAAGTGGAATTCGAATCTTGCGGAAATTCTAGTTCGGATACCTAAGGGCAAAGGCGAGATCGTTGCAATCGACAACAAGGACACAGTCAAGACTCTCGGTCTAGAGTGGAATCCAAGCGAAGATAGATTCCAGTTTGCAGTACGCGAATTCAATGCGGTGACTACTAAGCGGCAAATGTTCTCCGCAATCAGCAAATTTTTCGATCCACTAGGATTAATAGGACCAGTTCTCACTCGAGCAAAATTATTCATGCAAAAGACTTAGAAAATTGATTGCGACTGGGACAGCCGGCTTCCCGACGAATTGCTTAACAGATGGAGGCATTTTAGAGACGAACTAGTGGCTCTGGGAATGCAGCGAATCCTACGATGCGTCGTTACCTGTGATAATGGTCGGCGCTTGACTCTGCATGGATTTTGCGATGCATCCGAACGCGCCTATGGCGCTTGTGTATATGTGCAAGCTGAAAACGCCCAAGGAGAAATCAGTTCGCGACTGCTTTGCTCAAAGTCATGCATAGCCCCGATGAAGACGATATCCTTGCCTCGCTTGGAATTGTGCGGCGCCGTCCTGTTGGCACGATTACTTGTCACCACTCGGTCGGCCATTCGAGTGCCGATTGAAGATGTACGAGCATGGTCCGACTCGGAAATCGTTTTATATTGGATCAAGGGCAACTCATCGCGTTGGAAACCGTTTGTGTGTAACAGGGTGACTGAAATTACCGAGAACCTGCCAGCAAGATATTGGAGTCACGTGAGCGGCAAGGAGAATCCGACTGATGTGATATCACGCGTCACCAGCCCGAGTCAACTCGAAAACTTAAGGTTATGGTGGGCGGGACCACCATGGCTGTTCACAGGAGAGATTACCTTTGACGGCGATCGCGAAACAGATCCTTCGATGGAGAATCATGAAGTAATTGTGACAGAAAGACGCAAGAAAACCCGAACATGTCAGGTTATTGTTCAAGGACAGCCGTGTATTCAAATGCAACTAGAAAATATCTGTTCTTTAACCAAAATCGAGCGCGTACTGCAAGATTTGTGTCAAACGCAAGAAGAAAGGCCTCCGAACGGACAGTAGGTCTGTTGTCAATTACCGAGATACGAGTAGCATACCGTAGTCTCCTCTAACACGTACAGTCCAAGCACTTCCATGACTCAATTTCTGAACATAGGGCCATCGAACAAGCTTGCATCGTTGGCTCCCTTTCTTGACGAATACGATTTGCTTCGAGTGGGCGGTCGTCTGCAGCGCACCAATTGGAACTTTGAGCGGAAACATCCAATTCTACTGCCGTCGGATGATCGATTCACCAAGCTCTTGTTCGAGAGAGAGCACGTGCGATTACTTCACGCAAACCAACAGTCGCTGTTGAACACCATTAGAGAACGTTACTGGCCACTCAAGGCGAAATCTTTGGCCCGCTTAGTGTGTCGAAACTGCGTGCGTTGCTTTCGAGTCGAACCAAGGACATCAACGCAACTCATGGGCGAGCTGCTCAGCAGCCGAGTACAACCAAGTCACTGTTTCCGCATCACCGGAGTGGATTTCGCCAGACCGATCATCACGTTGGTGAACAAGAGGCGTGACTGAGAGACAAACAAGTCTTATCTGGAGACACTGGTAGTGTCTCGGCGCTAAGCCAAGCGCAGCGACACTGCCGTGGATAC